TCCCTCCCCTCCCATCATTTCATCACCAGATCTTCAATAAAGGTAAGTGTCATGTAACTGTGCATGTCTTCTTCGTTTTGGTGTTTATAAAATTTTAAATTTATTTCAGTGGTAAAAACAATTTTTTTTTAATACTTTGGGGTGTCCTGACGGTTAATTTGATTTCCATTATTTCTTATGGGGAAAATTAACTTGACTAACGATGAGCTCTCAGGAACGGATTAATAGCGTTAGTCGAGGGTCCACTGTATTATTATTTTTTTTTTTATTTAACACATCGGCCATTTCCCACCAAGGCCCGAAAAAGAAAAACTTTGTAAAATACAGTTTGGACCTTGCCTAACGATATTAATCCATTCCTGAGAGCTCAAAAGTTAGGCGAAATTATCGTTAGCCGAATTAATTTTCCCCATAAGAAATAGTGGAAATCAAATAATTTTTTCCTGACCCCCCCAATGTATGAAAAAAAAATTTTTTACCCCATGAAATATTAATTTTTAATACACACAAACTGAAGAAGACATGTACAATTACTGACACTTACTTTTATTGAAGATCTGGTGATGATTGATGGATGGGAGGAGGGGAGATGTGGATGGTGTTAGTTTGAAAGGGGAATCCCCCTTCCATTAGGTTGAGGTGTCAAGTCCTTTCCGGGGTTACTTTTTCCCTTTTTTTAATGCCACTAGGACCAGCTTGAGAGTCACGGACCTCTGTCGCACAAATATCTGTCCATAGAGCTCTGTACCTCCCGTTCCTTTAAGATTTGTCTAAAATGGGCCATAACATGTCATTGTAATAGTCACCAGCACAGCTTGCAATAGCTGTGTTAGGGTGATTTTCATCCATAAAGGTTTGCAGTTCAACCCACTTTGCACACATTTCCTTAATCTTTGAAGTAGGCACAATGGATTCCACAACTGGCATAGGCATCTCAGGGTTAGCCCAAACCCTTCAAAATCTTTCTTAATTTCCATACTAATTCTCACCCTTTTTATCACAGGGTTGGCACTAGAAGCTTTCTTGGGGCCCATGGTGTCTTTTTTTTGCAGGTGCAGTCATTAAAAACGCTGTGATAATATGAAGTGTTCCAATTGTATGTTTGGATGCGACCGCGGTGGCTGGCTTGTAAACACTGACACCCACGGGACAAGTGAGGCGTGTTCAGGCCCTACATGGACGCGTCTCAAACGGAATGAATCGCGTTGGGCGAGTTTTTTAGTGCTAGCCGAGGCAAAATTTTTGCGTTAAAATGTATCGTTAGGCAGATTTAACGTTATGCGATGCGTTCGTTAGGCGAGGGTCCACTGTACTTGTTCAATTATAGTGCATTTTTCCTCAAGGAACTCATTGCTGCAGATTCTGAGTGCATGCAGGAAAAGTCCTATAATTAGGCCTTTTCCTGCGTGCACTCAGAATCTGCAGCAATGAGTTTCTTGAGGAAGAATGCACTATAATTGAACAAGTATTTTCCAAACTTCACTATCCTCATCACTTCAGCAGAGACTGCAGACGAAGGGCATTAACCCTTTGAGGGTTTCGGCCGTACTAGTACGGCTTACGACCCAGGGTTTTTGACATTCTAGTACGTGCAAATTCTAGCGCCCTCAAATCTAGTGGGAGAAAGCTGGTAGGCATACATATGAAAGAATGGGTCTATGTGGTCAGTGTGCGCAGTATAAAAAAAATCCTGCAGCGCACAGTGCATAATGAGAAAAAAAAAACTTTGACCGTGTTTTTGGAATAAAACAGCGACTTTGCACTGTATTATTGTATGGTATTTATTGTTGTATTCTAGTTTTCTTGGTCTCATTTTATAGAATGGAAGACATATTACAGAAATTGAGATGATTTTGACTGGTTTTACAATGAAAAGTACCTTGAAATTGAGCTCAAAATTGCAGAAATGTTCAATTTTTACCAAAGTTCAAAAGTAAACAAATCATGCCAAGCCTCCAATACACGTCAACTGGTGAGTCTAACATTCTTTCACAAGTGCGCTGATATTGTTTATACTATTTCTACACTAATGCAGCAGTCTGCATAACAGTAAATCTTCTATTTTTTGTAAGAATAAAAATTGAAAGTGGAAAGCCAAAGAAATATAAGAGGGGCCTCGGGATGTGACTAACGAACAGGGGAAATGTTATTTTAGTGCCAGGAATGTCTTTCTTGTTTATTCTGGACTCTATTTGGAAATTGGCATCTTTTGAAATTTGTGTGAAATGGGCAAAATTGCTAAATTCTGACCACTGTATTGGATAGTTGAAATCAGTAAATGGATGGTTTCTTGTACTCATTCAATAGAAAAAATGGAGTTCTAGAGAAATAGTTATGATTTTTGTCAACTGGTACACTGGAATTGGCCAAAAATAGGGCTCAAAGTGGGCGGCAAAATCGCTGATGCATAAACATCGTCGAGACCCCTAACTTCGCAAGAGCATAATTCCGTAAGTTTTCCATCAGATTTCATACTTTTGGTGTCATTATGATCGGGAAAAGATTCTCTATCTTTTCATAAGATTTTTTTTTTTTTTTTTTTAAATTTGGCCAACCCTGAGAACAAGTCTCTAAGAGGGCCTGTCAACACTGCCAAGAAGAGGTACACAGTCCTCCCCACCAACTTCATTGCCAAACACGCTTCCAACATCTTTACCAGTACCTCATTCCAAGTATCTACCACGACCATCAAGGACATTACCAGTAATAGACAGGAGAAGCTTCCATCCTCTGCAGGGGTATACGTAATCTCTTGTAATGACTGCAGCAAATTATACGTGGGTGAAACATCAAGAGACCTCCAAAGACGTACTTGAGAACACCAATATACAAGCAGGTCTGACGATACAAGAAATGCCTGCATACAACACTGTAATTCACACAACCCTTTAATAAACTACAGAAACACAAGACTTATCGCCAGAGAAGACAACACTCAATACCGAAGAATCCTGGAATCATCGCTTATCTCTATATCCGACAACTTTAACCAGAACAGTGGCTTCTATAACATATCTGAACCACTTGCCAAGAAACTTTTTCATCGCTATCCCACATAAGAACATAGGAATGGAGGAACACTGCAGAAGGTCTGCTCACAAACTTATCCAATCTCCCTTCCAAGCTACCCAAGATTTTAGACACTATAATCCCACTCAGTAGATCATCAGATGCAGCATTCTCCACCTGACCCAGCATTCTGAACCTGACTATAAATACTCACATACCTTCCACCCAGGTAGATCTGTTTGTGACTTGAAAAAGCCCACTGTGTGGGCAAAATGTTGTCAATAAAGGATCACATTATACTGCATATGTGTTTATATTTCCAGGTCTTAGACAGGGATGTGTAATGTCACCATGATTGTTTAACATGTTTATAGATGGGGTTGTAAAAGAAGTTAATGCTAGGGTGTCTGGGAGAGGGGTGGGTTTAAATTATGGGGAATCAAATACAAAATGGGAATAGACAAAGTTACTCTTTGCTGATGATACTGTGTTTATGGGAGATTCTAAAGAATAATTGCAAAGGTTAGTGGACAAGTTTGGGAGTGTGTAAAGGTAGATAGTCGAAAGTGAACATAGAAAAGAGTAAAGTGATGAGGGTATCAAATGGTTTAGATAAAGAAAAATTGGATATCAAAATGGAGAGTAGGAGTATGGAAGAAGTGAATGTTTTCAGATATTTGGGAGTTGACGTGTCAGCGGATGGATTTATGAAGGATGAGGTTAATCATAGAATTGATGAGAGAAAAGAGGCGAGTGGTTCGTTGAGGTATATATGGAGACAAAAAACGTTTTCTATGGAGGCAAAGAAGGGAATGTAAGAAAGTATAGTAGTACCAACACTTTTATATGGGTGTGAAGCTTGGGTTGTAAATGCTACAGCGAGGAGGTGGTTGGAGGCATTGGAGTTGTCCTGTCTAAGGGCAATGTGTGGTGTAAATATTATGCAGAAAACTCAGAGTGTGGAAATTAGGAGAAGGTGTGGAGTTAATAAAAGTAATAGTCAGAGGGCTGAAGAGGAATTGTTGAGGTGGTTTGGTCATTTTTAGAGAGAATGGATCAAAGTAGGAAGACATGGAGAGCATTTAAATCTGTAGGGGAAGGAAGGCGGGGTACGTGTCGTGCTCGAAAAGGTTGGAGGGAGGGGGTAAAGGAGGTTTTGTGGGCGAGGGGCTTGGACTTCCAGCAAGCGTGTGTGAACATGTTCAATAGGAGTGAATGGATACGAATGGTATTTGGGACCTGACAAGCTGTTGGAGTGTGAGCAGGGTAATATTTAGTGAAGGGATTCAGGGAAACTGGTTATTTTTATATAACTGGACTTGAGTCCTGGAAATAGGAAGTACAATGCCTGCACTTTGAAGGAGGGGTTCGGGATATTGGCAGTTTGGAGGGATATGTTGTGTATCTTTATACGTATATGCTTCTAAGCTGTTGTATTCTGGGCACCTCTGCGAAAACAGTGGTTATGTGTGAGTGAGGTGAAAGTGTTGAATGATGATGAAAGTATTTTCTTTTTGGGGATTTTCTTTCTTTTTGGGTCACCCTGCCTCGGTGGGAGACTGCTGACTTGTTAAAAAAAAAAAAATATGCATGTGCTTGCCTGTGTAGTGTGACCTAAGTATAAGTAGAAGTAGCAAGATATACTTGTTATCCAGCGTGTTTGTGAGACAGAAAAGAGTTAACAGCAATCCTGCCATCATGTAAAGCAGTTACAGGTTTCTGTTTCACATTCACCTGGCAGGACGGTAGTTCCTCCCTGGGTGGTTGCTGTCTGCCAACCTACTGCCATATTATTATTATTATTATTATTATTATTATTATTATTATTATTATTATTATTATTATTATTATTATTATTATTATAAAACAGGCATGGCATAGTTTATCTGGGGGCCTCTACTTTTCCCAGATGCAGAAAAGTACTTTTCAGCTTCCAAAACATATTTCTAATAATCTTACTGTTCTCTCTCCTCTCTATTTATTTTATACAGATACAGCATAACTCTGGAGGGGAAAGTTTTAGCAACCAGGTTGTTGGCTGCTGAAAATAATCCATCACCTGTTTCACCCTTACCCTCCTGGACCTCTGGTGAGAATATAAGAGCAGCATCCAGAACTTCCAGCATCACCACCCCGGCTGTTAGTCAAGCTAATTATCAAGAGGTCATGGAAATTGCTGCTGGTAATAACAAACATTCAGAGATTCTGTCAAGTCTGGTTAGTAGTTCGTCATGTCTGGTCAGCAGTTCATCAAGTGTAGTCAACAGTTCGTCAGTATTCAAAGATGCCTTAAATAGTGATGTTAAGACAAGCAAAGTGGTACCAAGCTCATCGATTACTGTCACCACAAAGACGAAGCAAAGTAGACCAGGTAAGGGCTTTTTTTCATGCAGAAAAGGAGAGGAGATTTTAGCTTACTAATGTTGCTGTATTCTGAAAAGAATGCATATTCACCTACCATCCTACTTACGACCGAGTTCGGTTCCGAGAAACCGGTCGTAAGTCGAAATGGCCGTAAGTCAAACTTTACTACTGAATATCAACAAAACATTTTTGTAATGACTTTATTTTATTGTTTTATTTTGGTATTTTATGTTTTACTTTATTTTTTATGTTGTTAGTACTGTATTTTATACTGTAAGGTTTAGCATAAATACTGTGTACAACACAAATAGTTGTTTATTTCCCAGAAATTTGGCATTAAAAACACGGTCGTAAGTCGAGTGGTCGTAAGTCGAGCAGGTCGTAAGTCGAGCAGGTCGTAAGTCGGATGGTAGGTGTACTAAATTTAACAGTTTATTTTTTGTGTCCTTTAACCCTTTCACTGTTGGTGCCATAATATTATGGCTTGCAAACCAGTGTTGGTGCTTTAATATCGTACCAAAATTCTAGTGGCTTTAAATCTAGCGGGAGAAAGCTGGTAGACCTACATAGGAGAGAATGGGTCTGCGTGCTCAGCTTGCGCAGTATAAAAAAATTTGGGGAGCCAGTGGTGCATTATGAGAATGCCATTTCAGTAATCCTTGTTCACCATACCTAGTGGTAAGAAATACAGTGCAACCTCAAAAATCGAACGTATCACATATCGAACGTTTCAAAAATAGGACCATTTTTTTGGACAAACTGTGTCCCTGTTATCGAACGCGCCCCTATTTTTGGACCGCCGGGTACGGGACCTGTCTGCTGCCCGCTCTGTCCGCGTCCCCACGCAAGGCGCCGTGAGCAGTCTAGCTTTGTTTATGCTTGAGTGAACACTAACCTGCGCTCTCATTCACGCATTTTACGATTATTTCGTTGTGTTTAGTGCTTGTGGGACTGTGAAATAAGCTGCCATGGGCCCAAAGAAAATTGCTAGTGGTACCCCTGTGGTAAAGAAAGTGAGAAACACCATAGATGTGAAGAAGGAAATAATACAGAAGTATGAGAGTGGTGTGAGACTTGTTGAGCTTGCCAGGATGTATGGGAAAAACCAAGTTGACCATCGGTTCTAACTTGTCAAAGAGAGAACAGATCAAGGAAGCTGATGTTGCGAAAGGTGTTAATATAGGGAGTGGATGAGGTGCCTTCTTCAAAGATTAAGGAGATTTATGCCAAGTGAAATGATGTCCAAATGTTTGTGCAGAAGTACCACCCTGAGCAAGCTGAAACATGCCATCTTTGCAACATGTTCAGTGACAGAACTATGTCCCATTTTAGGGAAATGTTAAAGAGGTGCCAGAAACAGAGGACTGTGGACAGTTATTTTGTGAGACAGGGGTTCAGTGACTCTCAAGCTGGTCCTAGTGGCATTAAAAGACAGAGAAGGGAAGTAACCCCAGAGAGGGCTTTACCTGAAGTCCTCATGGAGGGGGATTCTCCTTCCAAACACTAACCCCAACTCCCTCTCTCCTCCTCCCTATCTTCCAGATGCCATCACCAATCTTCAATAAAGGTAAGTAAAAATGTTATTTTATATGTATTACTATACAACCCCTGTCAATTTGGGTTCAGGCCTAATAAAAATACTAATGATGCTATTATACACATGCTAGAACACATATATACTGCAATAGAGAAAAAAGAAGTCCCACTGGGGATCTTCATTGACTTACGTTATGCTTTTGATACAGTTGACCATGACTTTCTCCATATAAAATTGTCGCACTGTGGTATAAGAGGGCACTCCCTCAACTACCTAAAGTCTTACCTCAGCAACAGAAGCCAATATGTGTACACAAACGGGGCAAATTCTTTCAGACAGCCAGTTACAGTTGGTGTCCCACAGGGAAGTGTCCTAGGCCCTCTACTCTTTCTCATATACATAAATGACCTACCAAATGCATCGCAACTACTCAAACCCACACTATTTGGAGATGACACTACATACGTCTTCTCTCACCCGAGCCCAGTCACGCTAGCCAATACTGTAAATACTGAATTACAAAAAATATCTATCTGGATGAGTACTAACAAACTTACTCTAAACATTGACAAAACCTACTTCATTCAGTTTGGCAACAGAGCTACAGACGTCCCTCTTAACATAATGATAAACAGATCACCTATCACAAAATTCACGGAGGGAAAATTTTTAGGAATCCACCTTGATAATAGACTCAAATTTCAAAAACATATACAACAAATTTCCCCCAAAAATTCCAAGACCGTAGGCATACTATCGAAGATATGGTACTATGTTCCACAGTCAGCCCTCCTGGCCCTATCACTCACTTATTTACCCCTATCTCACCTATGGAATTTGTGCATGGGGCTTAACAACAATAAACCATCTCAGACCATTAATTACCCAACAAAAGGCTGCAGTCAGAATAACAAATTCCCACTACAGGCAGCACACTCCACCAATATTCAAAACTCTAAACCTACTCACCATACAAAACATCCATACTTATTACTGCACCTACTACATTCATAGAACACTTTACTCTGATATAAACCCTCCCCTCAAACATCTCCTTACCAACCTCAACAGAATACATGACCATAACACAAGGCACAGATCACTCTTTGATGTTCCTCGTGTCCATCTCACACTATGCAAAAACTTAGTGCACATAAAAGGCCCTAAAATCTGGAATTCAATACCAATGAACATAAAAGAAACATTATCTGTTTATAAATTCAAGTCTCTTCTCAAAAATCACTTACTCACCCACAACCAAATAAATACTGAATAATTGTATCTTATAAATTGTATATCTTAATTGTTTCTCATAATTGTATCACAGAAATATTTAACCTGAGACCCAGTCAAACTTTGTTATTTTTTAATTACATTACCTAACAGAATACTCCATTCTACTGAATGTACAGCAATGCATGCCACCATATGCCCTGTCTTTGTAATACTCACTAGAGCTTAATTGTTAACTGTTTACAATAATGTTTAGGAATGCTTAGGTAATCTTAAGTTAATTTTAAGCCTGCCTATAATGCTCTACATGCAAGCGGCTTTGGCATGCTGCACTTAATTGTATTCTTTTGTACTTTTCTGTATCATGTTCAAATAAGTAAATAAATAAATAAATAAATAAATAAATACTTAATTAAAGACTATAGTATTTGTTGTATGTAAAACTGTAATTAATCTCTTTTAAAATGTATTTTTTGTGTGCATATTTTTGGGTTTCTGGAACGGATTAATTGTACAGTGGACCCCCACTTAACGATCACCTCCCAATGCGACCAATTATGTAAGTGTATTTATGTAAGTGCGTTTGTACGTGTATGTTTGGGGGTCTGAAATGGACTAATCTACTTCACAATATTCCTTATGGGAACAAATTCGGTCAGTACTGGCACCTGAACATACTTCTGGAATGAAAAAATATCGTTAACCGGGGGTCCACTGTATTTCCATTATTTCTTATGGGAAATATTGCTTCGAATTTCAGGCTTTTCGAATTTAAAACTAGCTCCTGGAATGGATTAAGTTCGATTTTTGAGGTTTCACTGTACCTCACTCCCCAGCGAATTTGGGACTCTTCGCTTCCCAAGTGATAGTTCTAACACAGTTGGAAGTGTCAGTGAAGATGAATTTCATGGTTCTGAAGAGTTTGTGACCGAAAGCAATACCTAGATACCAGATACAGATAGTGAAAAGGGAAGACAGCGTAGGTGGTGGGAAAGGCAGCGTGGATGGTGAGGAAGATGGTCTGGGTGGAGAAGACAGCATTGGTGGTGGGAAAGGCAGCATTCAATTCAATTCAATTCATTTCAATTCAAAGTTTATTCTCTATAAGGATTACAATGCTGAGTTTACAGAATTTGGTTGTGTGGTTTACATGTAGTAAAATAATGATTACAAGAGTTACCACTAGAACACCTAGCATGGCTAGGCATTTCGGGCAGACTTAGTTTAATTCTTAATTTTAAAATATTACAAATTATGAGGTAAGTTGGTATTATGGCTAAGTGACTAAATACTAGTTTGTGAGTTTAGCAATGTGAATGCTTTTGTTTTGGCACAGTACATAGTTTCAGTATTGGAGTATCACAGAATTCATTATTTTAAGATTGAGATTAATATTTCTGTTTATGGTCAAATGGGTGAGTGAGTGTAAGTGTGAACCACCAGGTGGTATTCGTGTAGTTAGTCGACGGGGTGTATCAGGGAGATAAGATGTTTTCTAATGATAGTTTTGAAGGTGATGAATGTGTCTGCAGTTCTAGAGTTCTCAGGTAGGGTGTTCCAGATTTTAGGGCCTTTGACATACATTGAATTTTTGTAAAGGTTTAGTCGGACACGGGGGATGTCGTAGAGATGTTTGTGTCTGGTGCTATGCCTGTGGGTTCTGTCACAACTATCAAGAAAGCGTTTTAGGTCAAGGTTGATATTGGAGTTTAAGGTCATATAGATGTAGATTGCACAGTAGTAAGTGTGGATGTACTGAACAGGGAGTAAGTTTAGATCTATGAAGAGTGGGGGGGGGGGTGTTGCTAGGGATGGGATTTAGTGATTATTCTTACTGCAGCTTTTTGTTGGGTTATTATTGGCTTTAGGTGTGTTGCTGCAGTTGATCCCCAAGCACAAATAGCATAGGTGAGGTATGGATAAATAAGTGAGTGGTATAGTTTGAGAAGGGCATTTTGCGGCACGTAGTATCGTCTCTTGGAGAGGATCCCAACCGTTTTGGATACTTTTTTGGTTATGTGTTGGATATGACTGCTGAAATTTAGGTTGTTGTCAAGGTATAGGCCTAGGAATTTGCCCTCATTATGTTTGGTAATTAGAGTGTTGTCGATCTTAATGTTAATTTGTGCATCTCCTACTCTGCTACCAAACATAATATAGTAGGTTTTGTCAGTGTTAAGCGTAAGTTTATTGGCTGTCATCCAAGTCGATATTTTGATCAGCTCCTCATTAACAATGGTGTTGAGGGTGGCAAGATTAGGGTGAGAGATGACATAAGTCGTGTCGTCAGCAAAGAGAATGGGTTTCAGGTGTTGGGATACGTTTGGAAGATCATTGATGTATATGAGGAAGAGCAGGGGACCAAGGACACTTCCCTGCGGAACTCCAGTATCAAGTGGCCGTGTTGTTGATGCTGTGTCTTTAATGGTGACATACTGATACCTATTAGTAAGGTAAGATTTGAAATAAGCAAGAGCATGGCCTCTTATACCGTAATGGTCAAGTTTGTGGAGTAGGATG